GTCTTTGTTGTGAGATGGTCCACCGGAAGTGTCTGACTACTCTGCCATCTTTGCCCTGCCCTCGGTGCTCACTTTTTTATGCCAAGAAATTTGGTAGACAGCTACCTGGCCAACTGACTGGAAGAGATCCATATTTATGCCTATTCCAAAGAAACGTGATCCAATAGGATGCAGAAATTATCAAACAATATCTTTAATATCACACCTAAGTAAAATTTTACTGAAGATCATTCAAAAGTGGCTGCAGCAGTACATCTACAGGGCTACTGCCAGGAATTTAAATGTGATTCAGAAGAGGACATGAACCAGAGATATCATTACTGATGTCAAATGGATCCTGGTTGAATGCAGAGAATATTAGAAAGGTGTTTACCTGTGTTTTATTAACTATGCAAAGGCATTCAACTGTGTGGATCATAACAAATTATAGATAACATTGTGAAGAATGGGAATTCCAGAACACTTAATTGTGCTCATGAGTAACTTTTACATAGATCAAGAGGCAGTCTTTCAAACAGAACAAGGGGATACTGTGTGGTTGAAAGTCAGGAAGGGTGTGCGTCAGGGTTGTATCCTTTCACCATACTTGTTCAGTAAGTATGCTAAGTAAATAATCCATGAAGCTGGACTGTATGAAGTAGAATGGGGCATCAGGATTGGAGGAACATTCATTACCAACTTTCATTATGCAGATGACACAACCTTGTTTGCTGAAAGTGAAGGGAACTTGAAGCATTTACTGATAAGATCAAAGACTACAGCCTACAGTATGGATTACACCTCAACCTAAAGAAAACAAAATCCTCACAACTGGACCAATAAGTAATATCATTAAAAATGAAGAAAAGACTGAAGTTGTCAAGGATTTAATTTTAGCTGTATCCACTGTTGATGCTCATGGAAGCAGGAGTCAAGAAATCAAATAAGGAGGGGGGCCAAGATGGCGGAGTAGTCAGATGCTTCCGGTGGACCCTCTTACAACAAAGACTAGAAAAAACAAATGATTCGATTATACATAGCAATCTGGGGGCCCTGAACATCAAAGGCAGAGTTGTGGAACAAGACTGAGTGGCAGGGGGAGGGAGAGACGTTTTGGAAGCAGTAAGGAGTTGCCAGACTTGACCCAGTGAGAGCCTGAGCCATTGAGGCCTGATCAGCTCGGGGGTGAGCGGTGAGGCAGGCAAGCAGCTGTGCTCGGGAGATGCATTTTCCACACTGGGAGAGACCCAGCACCAGAGACTCTATACGATCACCCAGAACTAGTGAGAAGCAGCCCTCCACTAAATGTAAGTACTTGTGTATGGCTTATCACACGGATCAAAAACACCCTCATTAGGGAAAAACCTCTGTCCCATTTACCTCCTCACTCCCTGCTCTGCACAGGGTCCTGGCCTGGCTTAAGCAATTGCCAAGTCCCCTGGACCAGAAGTAAGATCCCTCACATGCCAGGAGCCATTCTTCACTAGCTATGAGCAGCATTCAGTTTCTTACTACATGGACCTCTCCATAGGAATGCTTGAGGAAATCACTACATGTCGGCTGACTTCCTCCAGAGTGAAGAATCCAAGACTGCAATGAGGAAGTAGCAATGTCATTTATAATCTAGCTTTGGAAATCACTCCCCATCATTTCTGCGTATCCTAATAGTTACAAAAGTCTGCTTATACAATGTGGGTGGAGACTACACAAAGGGATTACTACCAGGAAGTGAGGATCACTGGAGCCATCTTGGAAGCTGGTCACCACAGTCCTCCCACTGCCCCCAATGACTCACAGTCCTCCTACATGCAAACTATACTCACTCTCCCCAAGGCCTTCAAAATCTCATCCTATTACCGCACCAACACAAAGTCCATAATCTCATTATCTAAATTAGGACCAAGAATGGATTAGGTTCTCCTTCAATTGTGATTCCTTAAGTACAGCTTCTCAAGTACCCTCTCTGAAGACCTATGAACAAAAGAGACAAGTTATCCACCCCCACATGCAACACCCAATGATGGAACAGATTTATGATAACTTCTAGATATTCCTGTTCAAAACGGAGACAAACAGGGAGCGCTCAGCAGTCATTGGTCCATATCAATAGTGGAATATGGCAAGAAAAGTGATTCATGTTCATTGGTTAGAACTCATTCTTACTCCTGCCTGGGGGTGAATTTCAGTGGCTCTTGGCTTCACCTTCTTGGCTGTCGCTTTGGTCCTCTGAGTCATATTTCCTTTGTCATAAGAGGTAGCCTGTGTTTACACTTTATTTTCTGTCTGCTTCCTGCCAGTAGAATTTTGAGGATCAAAAATCTTTTTATTTAGTACTCTGACTCTCTCAGTCTAAGCTGGTGGTGTTTCTCTTGGTGTAATCTTTTAAAACTTCGCAAGTCTCGTGTGAATCTTATCGTGCTTCACTCTATTAGACAAAAAAACACATCCACATATCCCTTACAGGTAAGCCTTTCTCTACCTTAAACTTCCTGCTGATACTGCTAAGGGACAACTCCCTTAGGCCTTTTAGAAGCCCTATTATTTGACTGGGCAGTTCTCTGCAGCACGACCTTAAATCTTGCTGAAATCTTAACAAAGAATTCAGCAGCCACACTCTCAGCTTTTCCTGGAAGTGCCTTGTATTTGATCTTTGCACAGAAGTCCTTAATTTTAGCATCTTTTGCCATCTGGAAAAGCTGAAGATTTGGGGAAAAAGCCTGCTTCCTTTTTGTTTAACACTCTTCTCTGATATGCAGGGACCTCTTTCAATATCCTACCTGGAAATCTCTTTAGCCTGACTACTCAGTTTATTAAGCATACTTTCTACTGTCCACATTACTACCTGCAATAATTTTGCTAAACTGTCACTACATAATAATGATATTTTTTCTCCAGTTTTCAATAACTTTTTTCTCAGTTCCCTTTAAGCCCTACTAGAATCCCACTCAAATGTCATGAGGCTTGTATTAACGGACTCTTCAAAACACTTCAAGTTTTCACTAACATCCCCCTCAAAGTTCTTCCACTTGCCATCTACTATTTCGTTTCAAAGCAACTCCCACATTTTAGTCCAAAGCTTAGAAGTTCATAACAAAAAACAGACATTTATTATCCCACACAATTTCTGAGGTTCAGGAATCTAAGGGAGACAGATGAGTAGTTCTTGAATTGGGGTCTCTCGTGAGATAGCATTAAATCTATCATTTGGGTCTGCAGTCATATAAGTGTTTGACTGAATCTGGATGATCCACTTTCAAGAAGGCTTACTCATATGTCTGTTGCAGGAAACACAGTTCCTTTTTATCTGTAGGCATAAGGTTTTAGTTCTACACCACGTGGACAGTTCTATATTCCTGCTTGAGTAACTTCATGAAACGTAAGCTGAGTTCCCCCAGAATGAGAAATCCAAGAACACAGTACTGAAACTGTAGTCCATCATTTCTACAATATCCTATTGGTTACACAAGTCAGCCTCATTCAGTATGGAAGAAGACTACATAAGAGAGTGAATATCAGGAAGTAAAGTTCATTAAAGACCTTCTTGTAGGCACACTGAAATTCATTTAATATTCTGGATCTTAGTAAATATTTTTACCGTTTACTTAAGCACTCAAATTAAAATTATTGGTTCACCTATATATTTATATTTATGCCTACTTCCTCTCTCTTTATCTATCTATCTCTGTTTCTTGTCTCTTTCTCTGTGTATGTGTGTTTGCATGTATAATTATTCCCCTGTAAGTTGTATCTCAAATGTTTTTGCTCCTCTCTTTGACTCAACTGCAACAGGTTTGGTTGGCTTGGTTTACACACTGACATTGTTTTAGTTTGGAGCCATGTCAACTTTAACCTCCATTATTGCAATGGACTTCTCCCCAATAGGTTACTCTGTCAATTTAGTTCATCTTCCATGCCAATACCTAAGTTTTCTTTATAAAATTGAGATCTGATTTTTCATGGATTAAGGAAGAGTTTCACCTTTTCATTCCACCCACACTCACAAAACACACATATGCACACACACACAATGATGTTATCAGTCATAAAAACCAGACATAAGATGTGCATGAAGACAACTAGACCTTGGAATATGCAAATATTTGAAACAGAAGGGACCATAGAGATGGGCTAAGACAACATTTTTCAATGAGTATTTCAGAACCAGGTTCACCATAAGTACCTGGGAAACTTGTTAAAAATGTAGACTTCTAGGCTCTACTCCACCTTATCAAACTAAAATTTCCTGGAGTGGAGCTAATTTTTAAACAACTTCCCCAGTTGATTTTTACATACAGTAATTACTTATTTCCCTTTGATCTAGATTCAACAGAGATGTTGTTGGAAGTCAAGGAACAACAATTTTTCTTCCTGTGTCCTTGTCTCCATGTTCAGTGACATTTCCCTGCCTTGCACTGTTTCACTTGATCAGGGGGATTTGAGGGTAAATTATCAAATGATTTAACTTCCTTCTCGACTCTGAGGAGTAAAGCATTCTCCTTGTAACAAGAAACTCAGACATTAATGGAAGAGACAAATATATGTGTAGTAAATACCATATCATGAGCAGAGCACCACGTAAGTTTAGACCATGAGTGAGTGGACTGTTTAATTATTAGTTGGGTTAGCAGAGCGTGGGAAGTATTCACTAAGAAAATGTCCAGTCACCAGTTAAACCAACTGGTTATTTAACATAGCCAAACTTTTTTTTTAAATAACAATATAAATGGCTCTTTGTTCACAAACTTTCATCTGTTGCCAAAATGTTAATAGCTTATGCTCTCATTTAACGATGTTTTGTGGTCAAAACTGTGCACCCACACTGTCTAATGAACTAAGTGTCCAACAGTGCAAGGACTCTCAGTCTTCCCATCAAGGCCATTCTGCATCCATGGGTATCCCTAATGAGGGACAGAAAGGCACTTATTATTTAGACGAAGTTATTTTACTTGTGCTAGAGGGCCACAGACGGAAGTTTTCTCTGCCTCTTGGAAATGAAGCCAAGCTTTCTCCTCTCATCAGTCATGGGGATTGCTGTTCTCCTCTTCACCATTTTCATCTTTATGAATCAAGTTCTACCAGGTAACAAGATAAACTTTACCTTGGTAAGAGTAGAGTGCCTGAGACCTTGGGAGGATCCAATACTCAGAGCAAAATCCTCATCACCTATACCCTGAGAAGAGATCTCATAGAAAATCTAGAAAAGCCATTGGCTTACAGAACTTCAGCCATCTGATTCATTAGTTCTCCATAGTAACTCTCAGCTGGATGAAATGACATCAGGTCTGTTTCAAATGCTTGATATCCTCTCTGTTTCATGACCAAAGAGAAATTTAATTAAGCAAGTTTACTAGCAGTTTCTGGATATAGGTAACAGAAAATGGAGCATTATTCTACTAAATTTTGGTCTTTAAAACTCCTCTACTTACTGTCAGCAAAAGTTAGTTATCCTAACACACTGGCATAAAAGGTAAGTCAAAGTTGTAGAGGGCAGGCTAAAGGGATTGCTGATGTCTTCACAGAAGGATTGCTACAAGTCTAAGAAATCTCCAATCCATTGTCCCTCAACACTGTTGGTCCTTTGGACTGGATCTTGTTCATTAAGGTTTCATCCTAACACTTGGATCTCACTCTTCACTTTCAACCCCTAATCTTCTAAAATAGAACTTACACACAGGGATCAGACATGGTCCTGCAATGAAGTGTGGCCCTCCTGCATTCAGCACACAAACAAGGGCTATAGCAGTAAGGCATCATGTACAGACATGCTTTGCAGCAGCCGTGTGTAGCACTCCTTGATTTTGCCCAAGAAAGTGACCAGACATCCAAAGTAGATCAAGTAATTTCTTAGAAGTCCTGGACGTGTAGGTCCTAGGAGGAATAATTGCTTTCCTTGAGGTGGGACATATTCTTATCTTTTCTTGAGAAACAAGGATCTCTAAGGTAGGGAGAAAGTAGAAAAGTGGTCATAGACATCTGAGTGTGGACAATCCTCATATATTTTAAGGAAGTGCTAATATGTTTTATGCTGTTTGCAAGAAGATACTTCCCAAAATTTCCAACAGAAGATATAATGTCTATTCTTGCTACATCCAGATTTTCTGTTTTGAATCTATGTTTTAAAGGACTGTACACTATTAATGGGTAGACAGTCTTCAGGTTTGGGGGAAACAGCTTGTAAAGGACTTCTAACTTTGCTTCAGGAGAGCTAATGTCGAGTAAATACACGGGAGAGACTGGAGGTGGGAAACCAGTTCCGTTTATCAGCTATTTACTGAGCAACCACTGTACTGGGGCCCTGTGCTAGGAAGCAGGCATACAAAGAAGAGAGATGGTGTCCCTTGCCTTCCAAGAGGTCGCAGGCCAGTTGCTTTGATTTCTATAGTCCAGGAAAGAGTAAGTTGCAAAACTAGAGTGTTGTCATAGGATAGGGTGAAATTTCATAAGTGAGAAATAAAATATAGTGCCGAGAGAGAGAAATGCCAAGTCAAGGTTTGCAAGTCTAAGGCATTAGCCTTAAGCAATCTGATTTTAGAGCAGACTTTGGAAGAAAAATTACAGGATCAGTTTACTACTGAGAGTGTTTGAGCTATCTACCCAGGGTTTTAATCTGCAACTTTCTCCTGGTGATATTCTCTGTGTGTGTTTGGTGTGTGTGTTTACATGTGTGCATGTATAAGGGGTCTGAAAACAGAATAAGAGATACACAGAGGAAGAAGACAAGAAGGATCCTGAGCAGTTCAAACCTACCCTCTGCCAGTTATTTATTATCTTCTACATACTGAGAAAAAAAAAAAAATAGCTGGAGAAGTCAGCAGTATAAGGAGAATTATAATTTTTACTCCAACCTGGTTAATATCAATATTTATTGAATGCAAGACAGTTTATTATCCAAAGTATCAGGCTGTATAGTTAGTTATAATGATTTTAATCCTTACCCCAAATACACAACCTCCCCAAGCCTCAGTTTCCTTTTTTATAAAATGCCATAAATAACAATAACTATGTGTGAGTTGTTAGGAGGGTCAGATGAGATAACGCATGTAAAGTGCTTAGCAGAGTACCTGGAATTTAGTAAGTGCTCAATTAATGGAAGTGATTAAGTTAAATAATCTCACAAACAATTCTAGAGAAATCACTCTTACTATTTCTTCATTTACTCATTTAGCTTAGCAAAGTAATTGGATTTATTTGGAGTAACTGAAAGGATAGAAGAACCTAGGGTTAATAGGTGAAAATTATAGGAAATTTTTTCCATATGTTAAAAATAATACTTGGTAAAAATCAGAACTATTAAAAAACTAGAACTTGACTGCTGAGAAAGTCCATTCATCAGCATCTGGTGGAGCTGTCTGTCAACAAATAGATCAAGAGAAATAATTAGTGCACTGATTGGGAGATTATCTTAAGTGACCTGTAAAATCTCTCTAGCTCTCAGACTATATTTCTGTACTACTCATCTTTTGTGTTAAAAGTAAGCAAGAAAACAACCATAGGAAACCACAACCACTAAATAAGTGGCATTTGTATTAGAACATCAAAGAAAGAATAGAGAGTATCTAGGATGAAATTAGATCTAGTAGGTAAAGTGGGGCTATATTTAGGAAGGCATTGGAGCATCCAGACACCCTAAGGGATTTTTCTTTTAGTCATCTGACTACTCAATAAAAAAGTATTGAAGGGCTCTTTGTGGGCAAAAAGTAGATGCTCAATAAATTCTTACTGAATACTATGAATGATGAATGAGCACAGGTTCAGTAATAGGAAAGCACCCCTTAATGAATGGAATGAGAAACAGACTGGTGAAGATCACTTCCTTTATTAATATCGAACTCCCATCTACCCCAAACTTTTTAAAACACATATCTTTTTCCTATTCATCCACATGGAATACCCCCCTTAAATCCTCTCACAGCTCACCCACAATTGACCTAAACCTCCACATAGCTAGTGAGACACACGCATATCCTCGAACCTTCTACACTCATTATTACATCTACTATTGCATCTATTAAACTCTTGCATCTACCAGCTGTGTGTGTGTGTGTGTCTATGTGTCTGTGAAGTATATCCTCTATTTCACACTCCACGGGGGTGTTGAAAAAATGACAGGCTACTATCTGGAGCTATACCCCCAGGGCTAGGGCCAGCTACCTCATCACATTGTGAAGAGTTCATATGTAAGAGGCTTACTAAACACTTTATGAAATAACTTGAAAATACTTTCTCATTTTTTGGAAGGAAAAAATAAATAATTTTTTAAACAAATTGCAAACAAAAGAACAGTTAGCTTTTTTTGATTAGCAGAGAGACCATGATAACTGCATATACTATGAAATCATTCAGTGACAAGACTGGAGGTCTTGAAGATGATCTTGAACATATTTCTTATTTTATAGAGAAGAAATTCAAGGCCCTGAAAAGAGAAGAGTGAGCTAAATGTCAGAGCCAAGGCTTTGTATTCATTTGCTGACTTTCCCTCCATATCCCACCCTTGGGTTATGTTGTGCTGCTGTACTTGTAAGGTTCTCTAAAGAATGGTTAAAGGTGATACTATATTCATTTATACTAATTCAGGAGCACATAAAACTGGTGACTTCAACTTAAAAGATAGTTGTCTTCATGACAACACTGAAGAGCCATCTTATTAGTACTTATTAAACAGTCACCCTCACCTATTTAGGGTTTGATGGGGGAAAATCAATTAAAATATTTTAAAATTTATGTATGGCATTCATATCCCTGGTACATGGACGTTTTTATTCAAATTTTAAAACTTCAAAATTTGGAAAACTGATGCATTTTTTGTTTTCACTGTCACTTAGGCAAAGTAAAGGAAAGCAATATGATGGTTGGAGAGCAGAGGCAATAAGATTACTTATAGCCAAAATGGAATGTACCAAGACTAGAGGATAAAACACTGTCTACATGGGATTGGGGAGCCTTCTCTTGTCCTTAGGTGGTCATTTGCAGCAGGACTTCAGGTTTTCTTTTTGGAAGATTGGGGAGAAGAGGAGGAAGAGGAGAATACAGAGACGGAGCAAGAGGGGGAAATAGAATGGGGTTAGGAACACACAAGCTTTAGTTCTGTCCCTGTCCCTCCCCTCACTAACAAGGTGATCTTGGGAAAGTTGCTACGCATTTCCTCACTTGTAAAATGAAATGATTAGAAAAGATAATCCATGATGTTCATTGTAACTTTAACCTAATGTTTCTGAAGGAAATAGCTAGAATGACACAGTGTCCCTACAACATCCAATATATCAGATTCAATAACAAAGAACTAACAGAACAAAAAAGCAAAAAAAAACCTTAATGCAGCTTGAATTTCTATAAATATGTCATATTTTTACAAAGCTCTTTTGTGATTTGAGAATTTAGTGTTCAATGGAGTCATTTGCAGCAAAGTGGCAAACGTAATTTCAAACATGTGCACTGAGAGTAACAACAAATTTCCGCATAAACATGTTACAGTGTGGAAAATATTATCCCACAATTATGTACTGAATAACTATTATATGCCAGGACCTGGACCGGGTTCTGGGATATATACAGGAAAGAATAAGACATGATTTGTGCTCTAGAGGAATTCATCAAACAGTGAGGTGAGAGGGTAAACAACCATAGTACTACAAAGGAGACTATTCAAATGTCCAAGACAGATTCATCACATAGTACAAGACACGTCAGTGGTTCATCGTCTATACTATAGTAATCTCAGATGACCCATCTATAAACCTAATCTGTGGCAATATGCCAATTTTAGCCCAAGGTAAATGGATATATACACACATACACACATACATATAGTGGTTGAGCTAATTACAACTAAAACGAAGAGATGTAAACTAACATTTCAACTGGTTTCTACATAGTGCTCAACACTTACACTGCTCATTAACTTTTTCCAATAAACTTTGCCCTTAAAATTATTTCCAAATTCACATTTTAGGTTAAAACATGGTGTTGCAGTATTTAATCTTCTGGTCCATTAACTAATTGCTTTCTAAACATTAAAGAGTTAAGTCCAGTTTAATGCATTTGGATTTCAATTCAGTTCAGTAAACATTTATTGAATGTATATTAAACATCGTTACTGATCTGAAGTTATTCAAGAATTGGGCTTTGTGTTGCAGATTCAGATTTTAAAAATTAAACATTCATGCACACACAAAAAACAGAAGTGCTGGTTTTGATACTTCTCCTACTGTCAGCAGAGAGCTTAAGAAGTTGTCAAGAAAAGGGTGCATTTGGTTACATACAGAGACTGCTCAGAATTAAGCCAGTTTCAGCAATTTGATGAGTGTGTCCCATCTCCAGAACAGTCATACTTTAGGGCATAGATCAAATACTATTCAATGTTTTGAACAAAAAAAAAATTGTCCAGTACTTAAGAATAATCTGAATGTTTTATTCTTAATGTGTGCAATCCTAGACCAGGATTGCAGTCTCAAAGACCTTCAGCACCAGTGCCAGAGATATAAGAAATGAGTGAGTCAATATGTTGTAAGAAACACTGACATAGACGCTATTTGTATATTAAATATGTAAGATATTAAATATCCTCTCTTACAATTTCCTTAAAGTGTTAGCACTTACTGAGGAAGATAAAAGACTATTAGCCTTCAGTATGAATTACACCTCAACAGAAAGAAAAGAAAAATGGCCACAAGTGGAACAATAAGCAACATCATGATAAACAGAGACAAGATTGAAGTTGTCAAGGATTTCATTTTACTTGGATCCACAATGGATGTCCAAGGAAGCGGTGGTCAAGAAATCAAACAATGTATTGTAGTGGACAAATATGCTACAAAAAACCTCTTTAAAGTATTAAAAAGCAAAGATGTCACTTTGGGGACTAAGGTGTGCCTGACCCAAGCCATGGTATTTTCAGTTGTCTCATATGCATGCAAAATCTGGACAAAGAATAAGTAAGATCGAAGAAGAATTAATGTCTTTAAATTATGGTGTTGGCAAAGAATATTGAATATACCATGGACTGCCAAAAGAATGAAAAAATTTTCTCAGAAGAAGTACAGCCAGAATGCTCCTTAGAAGTGAGGATAACCAGGCTTTATTTCATGTACTTTGGACATGTTGTCAAGAGGGATCAGTCCCTTGAGAAGGACATCATGCTTGGTAAAGTAGAGGGTTAGCAAAAAAGAGGAAGACCCTCAAAGAGATGGAGTGACACAGTAGCTGCAACAATGGGCTCAAGCATGGCAACAATTGTGAGGATGGCAAAGGACCGGACAGTGTTTTGTTCTGTTGTACAAAGGGTTGCTATGGGTCAGAACTGACTTGTCTTGATGGCAAACTTACCACAAACTTAAAACAACACATATGTGTTACCTTATAGTTGCGTAGGCTAGAAGCCTGACACAGCTCTTACTAGACTAATGTAAAGATATTGGTAGAGCTGAGTTTCCTTATGGAATTTCCAGGGAATAATTCATTTCTTTGTTTTTTTCAGCTTCTAGAGGCCACTCACATTTCTTGACTCATAGCTCTCTTCCTCTATTGTTAAAGCCAGCATATATATATTTATATATGCTAACAACAACATATGTATACATATATATGTTTATGTGTATTTTTTCTCTTCCCTAAGAAGTTTTTTTCTGCTCTAGGAAAATCAGCTGTACAAGACTGACGTTAAATAAAAACTGGCCCTCACCATCAGTGCTGAGAGACAATAAGGAGTGAGAAAAACTGAGATAAACTGGAGTGTGCATGCCCCTCTAAAGGGGTCAGAGCTACTCAGCTCCAGCCTTTTGTTACTAAGTACAATTGAAAATCCTACGGAGCACAGTTCCACCCTAAAACACATGAGGTAGCTATGAATCAGAATCGGCTCAACAGCAACTGGTTTGGTTTGGTTTTGGTGCCCAATATTGCCAGATTTTTCAAGAATGCCACAAATCCAATTTTTTGTGACATCAAAATTTTAAGCATTGGCTTAAAAAAACCAAAGAACAAAAAACCACACAACATTGTTTCCATTCCTGTTCTGTAATTCAATAAAAACTGGTAAGACTGGTTAAAATAACCCTCTTTTCTATGCAGCCAGGGGCAAGTTCAAGGAGGTTTGTGAGCGTCCAAATGGCTTCTGCCGGGAATTTTGCATTGAAACAGAAATCCTCGTTGGCAAATGTTTAGATAGGCGACTATGCTGCATGCCCCTGTTGGATCAACCAAAAGTAGAGAGTACTGAGAGTACTAAGAGTGCTGTACACAAGACTTGATGACTTTCGTTTGTTTGGATGTTTCATTACCGTCATTCTCTCTCTCTCTTTCCTTTCTCTGTCTTTGGATTCTTACTGAACCAATAAATAATAAAGCAAAAGTCAGCAAACACAATCTATTTTTAAAATTCTTGTTACAAATTATCACTTGATTACAGTTTAGTTCCCAGTACATCTCATCCTATTCAAAATGACCTATTTTTGTGACTGGCACTGCATCCTTTCACCCTTCATCTGAGGAGACTACTCTCCTTTTACACTGGGAAAATGCACTACCTCATTCCATGCAGCCTTGTGGGGTCTCTCTCCCTGATAAAGGGATAACACAGAGGAAACTTAAATAATCAGATTTCCCCAAATCGATCAAACTTCACCAGAAATCTGAATCATGAGCAGAGTAACACCTAAATAAAAGGAAATTTCATCTGCAACCTTTTAAAAGGCAGTGCTCCAGGCCTGTCCATGTACTCTTGGCTAACATCCATGGGATTTCCCTAGTTCCCATCTTTCACTAGGCCTAGATATTCAGTTTTTCCTTCTATCCTGCAAGCCAGCATATTAACTTATTGTTGCTGCTGCAACAAATTACTACAAACTTAAAACAACAAAAAACTATTACCTTATAGTTGTGTGGGCTAGAAGTCTGACATAGTTCTCACTGGGCTAATATCAAGGCATTGGCGGGGCTGAGTTCCCTTATGGAGTGTCTAGGAAATAATCCATTTCCTTTTTTTCTTTCAGCTTCTACAGACCACTCGTATATCTTGGCTCATAGCTCCCTCCTCTATCATTAAAGCCAGCAATTGTGGATTGAGTCTTTGTCACACTGCATCACTCTGAATTCTCCTTCTTTCTTCCTTTTTCATTTTTTAGGACCCTTGTGATTACAGTGGATCCATCTGCATAATCCAAGATAATCTCCCTATTTTAAAGTCAGCTGATTCCCATTGCTGTCGCGTCTATTCTAACTCATAGTAACCCTATAGGACAGAGTAGAACTGCCCCATAGGGTTTCCAAGGAGTGCCTGGTGGATTCAAACTGTCCACCTTTTGGTTAGCAGCTGTAGCCCTTAACCACTACGCCACCAGTGTTTCTGATTAGCAACCTTAATTCCACTTGCAACCTCAATTCCACTTTGCCATGTAAGGTAAAATACACACAGTTTCCAAGGATTAAAACATGAACACCTTTGGTGGGAGAGAGGGGCATTATTCTGCTTACAACAGCCACTGAGTGTTTTGCACACATTATGTTCTTGCTCAGTTTAGAGATGATTTTAGTTGCTTTGAGTAAAGGCAACCTCATTGATAAAGATTTCTTTTGTGTGAAAAGTTGTGGGTACCTCCCCCAGGTCACTGGAAGACTGTACAATCAAAATAAAGGTATATTAACTACACATGAAAAGATGTTCAACATCATTAACCTTTAAGGAGATGCAAATCAAAACCATGATGAGATATCACCTCACCCCCTTTAGAATGGCAATGATGTTAAAAAAAGGAAAACAACAAGTGTTGGCAAGGTTGTGGAGAAACTGGAACCCTCATCCATTGCTGGTGGGAATGTAAAATGGTACAGCCACTGTGGAAAACAGTTTGAACAGTTCCTCAAAAAGTTGAACATAGAACTACCATATGACTCAGCCATCTCAATTCTAGGTATTTACCTAGAGGAAGTGAAGGCAGTAACACAAACAGAAACCTGTATAATCAATGTTCATTGCAGTGCTTTTCACAATAGCCAAAAGGTGGAAACAACTGAAAGGTCCAGCAACAGACTAATGGATAAACAAAATGTGGTATATAAATACAAATGGCATATTATACAGCTGTAAAGGGAAATGAAGTTCTGATGCATGCCACAACATGGATGAACCTTGAAAACAGTATGCTGAGTAAAATAACTCCATTGCAAAGAATAAATATTGTATGATCTCACTTATATGAAGTAAGCAAATACATAGAAGTCAATGATTACTAATGGTTTACCAGGGCTAGGAGGGAAGGGAAAAGGGAGAGTTTTCTGTTTGTGGTCATTGAGTTTATGTTAGTGGTGGTGGAATATTTTGGGAAAAGATGGCAAGAATCGTGGCATAACATGAGGAATGTAATCAATGTCATAAATTGTAGCTATGGAGGTTGTTGTTTTGGTGCATATATTTTCACTGCAATGGGTAAGGGTATATTAACTGGATTTTATTCTCCACTATGCCTGATTGGCCAATAGGGCATGTTAAGCTGTGCTGCATAGGCTACTTAAAATTGCAGAGAGTTCAAAATCTCAGAAATTTACACATATTCCAACCAACTCTACTCTGGTTAAGTGCCAAGTGTTCCTCAGTGCTACTCTTGAAACTACATCACCAACTAAACCCATAATATATTTTTGCATCATGTATTATTTCTTCCTAGAGAAGAAAACCTGCCTGGAAAAGAAGCAGCTTGCATCAGTATATTAAAACCATCACAATGAATTTTACCCTTATGTTAGTATCATGCACCCTCTTTTTATATTCTGCATTAAATTGCAGGCAGTTCTGTTATTATAGTAAGTGTGATTCTGTTGATTTCCTCTTATTCTTCCAGAATATGTTTTATTTTGTTTAGAGTTAGACATCTTTACCTCACTGTGCATGGTGTGCACCAGTGTCCACAGTGAGGTCAGAAAGGGAAACAATCCTTTCTCAAATTAGGTACATTTCTGCATCTCTCTAGCACTAATTATTAACCCAGTAATCAATAGTAGATCAATAATATGTTGATGTGGTAACCTATGTTTATTACTTTTCTTCTCTTCCTTGCCTGTATACTCTCCTTTCCTTACCCTCCTATTTAAGTGCCTGAAACACTTTCAAGTCATTGTCTAAGTAGTAAAAAATTGTCGAGCAGAGACTAAAAGCAACACGTATGTCATTCTGGCTTCTGTTATACAAAACCTAAACACTTAAAATAATTTATCACAGTACAGAGGAGATGAAAGAAAGAACATGACTTTAGATTAAATTTCCTATAGAAAAAGTAAATCTGCTGCAAAAGACCACTTTAAAATCTTGAAAAGCAAGGATGTCACTTTGATGACTAAGGTGTGCCTGAACCAAGCCATGATATTTTCAGTTGCCTCATATGAATGTGGAAATTGGACAATGAATAAGGAAGGCCTAAGAAGAATTGACACAAATGAATTATGGCATTGATGAAGAATATTGAATATACCACAAACTGCCAGAAGACTGAACAAATCTGTCTTGGAAGAAGTACAGCCAGTATTCTCCTTAGAAATGAGGATGACGAGACTTCATTTTGCTTACTTTGGACATATTATCAGGAGGGACCAACACCTAATGGTAGGTCTTCATCATCTTCATCACCATCATCTTTAGATTGCAAGTTCACAATTTCTTGCAGGTTTATATCATTTATTTCTGTGGCAATTTCTTTGTTCATATCAATGTAAAATGCAATACTGAGTCTATTTTTGAAAACACCACTATGAATGTCATTTATTGTGTCTTGAATCTGCAATGATGTTATCTGGCTCGATAACTGTTTTCTTTTGTATACTATTGCCAAGTAAGAAATCTCAGTTCTTAAACATATTTTTATGATTTCTTCTAATCATTTTGATTGATCACTTAAGAAATGAAATTGCATCAAGGACATTGATTTCCCCTGAAATCTCTGATGCCATCTTGCACATCTTAATGTTGGCCATCACTTTTTGAAGGAATAGCTTCCTGTAGTTTAATATTTTAGATAAAGCCATTATCCAGAGATTGTAGGACCAGTGTCATAGATGGTGGGAAAAAATAATTTAATATTGAACAGGTGCAGTGACCAATGACAAGTAATATTGTCAATGCACAAAAGACTGATTTTTTTTTGCATGCTACCCTTGAGTTTATTTAAAAACTCTTCATAAATTGCTCCCTCATCCAAGCTTTTTTATTTCATTTCCATTCTACTGAGATCAAAGTCAGGCCATCCTCTCATCTTCTATTTTTATAGCTGCTGCTTAGCTTTTATGTTTTGTATATTTCTCTTCAGCACAGTGGGTTTATCTCATGTCTATAGTCCTCCAACCTTTCCTTAAAACAAAAGGCATTCTGTTTCACAACAACCATCCATTCTCTGACAATGTAGTTGTCCCTAAAATGCTTCCCTGACTGAGTAAAGGAGACATTTACTCTGATCAGTTGTTATAAGGCAAAATGGAACAATTTCAGAATTCCCCATTGTAGAATTTCCTAGACACACAGGGTATGAATCTAGTGATCAGGAAAAGTAAGTGTTGCCTGCACAGCTAAGTTTCTGAGCTCAAGTTCCTGGTGTGGCAAGTACCAGTTCCCTACCAAAATTTCAATTAAAAATAGAGTTCCCTAAGTCAAAGTACTGAACAGGAAATTTCAAAGGGCAGTTCCAGAAGACAAAGTAAAGTATTATAATGAAATGTGTGAAAATGTGGAGTTAGAAAACCAAAAGAGAAGAACACCCTTGGCATTTCTTAAGCTGAAACAACTAAAGAAAAAATTCAAGCCTTGAGATGCAATCTTGAAGGATTCTATGGGCAAAATACTGAACGACACAGGAAGGGTCAAAAGAAGATGGAAGGAGAGAGATGAGGCCAAGACGGTGGAGTAGTCAGACGCTTCCTGTGGTCCCCCTTACAACAAATACCTGAAAAAAACAAGTGAATCAATTATATATGACAATCTAGGAGCCCTGAACATCAAAGGCAAAGTTGAGGAATTGGACTGAGAGGCAGGGGGAGGGAGAGGCCGTTCAGAAGCAGTGAGGAGTTGCCAGATCTGATCTGGATAGCACTGGAAAGCTGCAAGCAGGATCAGCTGGCATGCAAGGTGAGCCAAGCAGTGGCATTTGAGATGCATTTTCCACATCAAGAGAGACCAAGTGACAGAGTCTGCCCAACCTTCCAGAACCAGTGAGAAGTTGTCCACAATCAGCGAAAGATAAGTACATGCATCTAACCTACCATGAGGATC